GCTGTTGAAGTTGAAGTTGGTGAGGCACAGGGTTTTGTTGTTCCAGTTCCTGGAGAAGAGACTGTTTTTTTTTCTATTTGTTCGACAAGCAGTTGAGATTTTTTCGCATTTTCGGTTGACAAAGCTGTCATTGTTGTTGAAAAAGAAACTGTTCTTGCTGCTATTGTCTGAGTTAATGTGAAAAAGGCTGTTGTTACCGCCGTAATTTCTGGAGTTGTTGCCTAAAAAAAAAAAAAAAAAACTAGAAAATAAAAACTACAAAAATTTGTGAAAGTGAAAATGTTATTTTACAGAAACTCACAAAAAGACAATTTAATCTTCTATGGAACGCATGAAACTAGAGTCTATCTCAGTGGAAACAGATTGTTTCCCAAAAAATTAAAAGAAATTTAATACCTTTATGCTGGATGAAAAAGCAATGATAAGAAGGAAAATGATTTCTTTCTTCATTTTCACCATTTCGATTAATCAAATTTGAACTAAAAGAAAGTAATTGAATGTGAATCAAAACAGTAAATGCTTGCATTTTTAAAGTTTTCAATTGAATATAGAATTTTAAGCAATAATTAACAATCATTCAAATCAACAATACTAGCGTACTATTTGGATTAGCCAAGCATTAAGCAGTTTATGATTCGAGAAGTCTCGGTCAAATTCTTTCCCTAATTTCCATGGCAGTGAAATACTTCCTCTAGAATTACATAATATTTCTAAAAGGGTTTCATTTTACAAAAGAACCTTCTCCTTATGTAACCTTTGAGAAAGTATGAAGAAGCATTAAGTTTTTTAATTTTTGTCCAGTAGGAAAGCCCTGGAATTGTTGTCACACTGAACACTTTGAATTGTGTTGCAAAATTTAAAGACATTTGTGTTACTTGTTTCATTCTGCAGAACTTTCTAGTTGAAATGGAAATTGAATTGAAAGCTTTGTGTTCCGAAATTATATTTCTCATCCAAAACTTGGCAACAACATGCATTGCTTTGAGAAAATTCACCGTATTATTGTTCTTTCTATTAAAATAGATGAATTTTGTTACAATAAAATAAATTAAACGAATGCTTTGATTTCTTAGTTTGTTATAATACAAACTTTTCTGATATTGAAAAACGGTTTTTGTCCTTACTCAATGCATCTGCCTCTTTCTTTTCTTTAAAGGTATTACCAAAAACGATTAAACGGATCGCTCATTAATTTTGGCATTTCAGTGACAGACTGTTAAAGGTGGAATAAGGTTGCTAATTCTGAAATAGTGTTGTACATACACATTACATTAGCATTACACAGGTGTTTGTATACTTGCATGCAGTTGAATATTTAAAATTTATTATGGACAGTTGGGATTTATCAAACTGTGCGTAAGTCACTAATAATTTGGAAATGAAATGGACGATGTGCTCTACACAAATTGAAAATTTGAAAAAGAGTTATTTGTTTCTTTGAGAAGCTTATTTCATCACTGATCAGTTCTGAACTTTTTCCTTTCTTAATGTACTGTCATTTGAAACAACTTTTTCCGTTTCATTTGCTGCAACGACCGATACTTACTACTTGCTGAACCATTCCACTGATTAATATGTTGATAGAGAGGAGGTGAATTACTTATTGACTTAATTACTTAATTCCTCTAATTAATGCTCGTGCATGCTTAATTATTAAATCTAACAAATGATTTTAGTTCTTCAAACAGCTTATAACATTATAGTGAAAGTAACATACAGACGAAATAGTTTCCTCTTTATACAGACAAATTTTAAGAGAAATTCTTCTATTCTTTGCTGCACTAAATGACTTCCCTATTAGCTAGTGATTGCTTAAGTTTTCTTTTAATAATAAAGCAGAAAAAAATTAATGGTCAGTTCATTTGAATGTTTCCTGATGAAAAATTTTTGTATAAATCCAACAAACAATCATTTCGTTATTATTTATAGCTTGCTTTAATTCCATTTTGTTTTAAGAATGATATTAAAAGAAAACAAAAAGCTTGATTGAATTAGTTTTCATCAAATGAAAGTAACTTTTTGCACTGAAGAATAATAAGTTTCCGAGTCATTATTTGATGGGGATTGATTTAAATTAATTAATTAATCAGTGATAACGATGCATGACATTTGTTAACTTTTCATTGACTATTCTTTGCTAAATTATGCTATCAGTTTCGCTTATAATTTACCAATTCTCACCTTTTTTTTTCTTTTAAATGAAAAAAAATTTAATTTTTGACAAGCAGAATTTTTTTTTTTTAATTCTTCTTCAGCAAAGCTGCGAAATATGACCAAAGTAAAAAATCAGATGGAGATATAAACAAAATTCAATCGTCGATGAAGCAAATTTTCCATTAATAGTTCATTCCGGAACATATTTATTAAATTAGGCACCCAAGTTGTTATTATCAAAATTTCTATTATTATGCCACTGCTTGAATTACTATTATTATTTTTTTTTTTTTGTAACATCGAAAACGTAAAATAAAATCATTTCAGTAAATTGTGAGGTTTTGCACAAAAATCAATTCATACATATATAAAATTATGAAAAGAATGAAAAGCAGAAAAAGTAACAATAATAAATGGAATAGAAATGAGGAAAACGGAATTTTTTTTAAATAGAATTTGAAGAAAAAATAATAATTTTTAACTTTGCATAAAATAATTTAATTTATTCTATTTATAGCAATGCTTCAATTATTCATTCTCTGATGTTATACGTACAAAATTCACATACTTTTCATATTTTTAGTAACTGTCAATGACAAGAAGCTGTGAATGAATTTTCAAGATAAAAATGGCAATCAGTAAAATAACGAAGTTTGAAAAAAAGATTGGGAGAATGAAGAGAATCATGATAATTCAGTGAACTAATAGAAAGAAAAATGTAAACTAGAGATTATTGCAATCGAAGAATTGATGACAAAAAGAGAGAAGTACAGAATGCTTTTCAAAAGTTTATATTATAACTAAAGATGAAAAAGTCGTAAGTTGGTCGTAGAAAGCGGTTGCAAGTGATTACAGTAAAAAGTGGTTACGGTAGCAGATGGTTACAAGTGGTTGGAGGAACAGGTGGTTCCAAAAGAAAGGAAAACAAATAATACGGAAAGGTAAATAAGCAGGTGCTGTAAATTATTACTGTGGTTGCAAGTGGTTCCAACTACAAGTATTTACAAGTAGCAACGAGTGGCTGCAAATAATTGGAAATGGAAGCAAGGATAGAAAGTAGAAGCAAGTGGTTCAATAATATTTTTACTAATTTTATGTTTGTTAACATTAATCGTGCTTTGGAGTACGCAGTTATAGTGTCGTTGTTTAATTTTGGTTTTTTTTTTTTGAAATTTGATTATATAAAAATGTCACGCTTGGAAAAAAGTAATAAGAAACATGGGTCATGAGAAAAAATTGAACATCATCGAAGAGACATGTTTTAAAATGAATTAAAATTTAATCAACAAGAAACATGAAATAAGTGAGCTTTATAAAAAACATAAAAAAGAGATTTTGCAAAATGACAAATATAATAAACAAATGTAAAATGGCATGAAAAAAAGAATTTTTCCAGGAATAAAGGTCAGTGATAAAAAGAAGAAAAGTTGTAAACAAGAATTATATTAGTAGTGTACAAAAAAAAAGTAAAAAGAAAAAACGAAAAGTATATAATAAATGGATTCCATAGACTATTTTGCCACTAATATGCCATGGCACAGAAATATAAATACTAAGGAAAAGTTTTAGGTAAATAAGAATATGTTTATTATATAAATCATTGTCTTATAGCCTTAATTAAAACTTAATTAAAACTTAAATATTATAGATAAAAATATCGATATAAAAGTTAGAAAATAGCAAAACATGCAAAGCATCAAAATCCTCGCCAAATGTTTATTCAGCCTATGAATGATTTCACAAAAGGAGAACAAAGGAATTTTTCAAAAGTATTTGATGAAATCAAAGTATCCATAATATTTCAAGCGATTACCAATAATCACTCTTTTACTTTTGTCATTAAAATAATATTCTCTATATTCTCTCTATATATAATATTTTCGTCGTTCATATATTTAAGTAAAGTTAATTTCGCATGTGAGATTTCCTTATTACCAATACCCGCTTTTCGATAGCATTTTTAGTTTTTAGGTACGAAATGAGGTACTCAATTTCCAACATTTTCTGTTTCTTGAAGTTTTAGTCGATTAATCAGGTTTGTTGAGATGAATATTCATTAAAACAGTTATGTGTGATCATCCTATATCGAATCATGGTGCTAATTTTTCGTTTCAATTTTCGGAACTTCTGGATTTATGATGCTAATTTTTTTCACAAAAATAAAACTCTTTTATCTTTTGATCATTTTATATCAAACCATTCTTTTAATTTATTTTATTGTAACAAAATTCATCCATTTAAATAGAAAGAACAATAATAGGGTTTGTTATAATACATTTGTTATATATATATATTCTGAAAGCAATGCATGTTGTCCCCAAGTTTTGGATGAAAAATACAATTTTTGGAACACAATGCTTTCAATTCAATTCAATTCAATCCAACCCATTTCAACTGGAAAATTCTGCAAAAGCAGAATGAAATAAGTAACACATAAATGTCTTTAAATTTTGCAGCACAACTCAAATTTTCAGTGTGGCAATGCAGTGAAATCCAGGGCTTTCCTATGGGAAAATTTAATGCTTCTTCATAGCTTCTCAAAGGTTGCATAAGGAGAAGGTTCTTTTGAAAATGAAACCGTTTTAGAAATATTATGCGATTCTGGAGGGAGGATTTCACTGCCATGGAAAGTAGGAAAAGAATTTGACCGAGATTTCTCGAATCATGAACTGCTTGATGCTTGGCTAATCCAAGTAGTACACTTGTATTGTTGACTCGAATGATTGTTAATTAGTGCTTAAAATTTTATACTCAATTGAAAACTTTAAAAATGCAAGTATTTGATGTTTTGATTCACATTCCATTATATTCTTTTAGTTCAAATTTGATTAATCGAGATGGTGAAAATGAAGAAAGAAATTATTTTCCTTCTTATCATTGCTTTTTCATCTTGTACAAAGGTATTAAATTTGTTTCAATTTTTTGGGAAAAAATCTGTTTCCACTGAAATAAGCTCTAGTTTCATGCGTTCCATAGAAGATTAAGCTATCTTTTTGTGAGTTTCTATAAATCAACATTTTCACTTTCACAAATTCTGTAATTTCTATTTTCTAGTTTCGTTTTTTTTAGGCAACAACCCCAGGAATTACGGCAGTAACAACAGCCTTTTTCACATTAACTCAAACAATAACAGGTAGAACAATTTCTTCTTCAACGAAAATGACAGCATTGTCAACAGAAAATAAAAAATTTGAACTGCTTGTCCAACAAATAGAAAAAGAACATTATCTTCTCCAAGAACTCCTGGAACAACAGCCTCACCAACAACTTCAACAGCTACTCGAACAACTACAACAAAACCACTCACACTTTGATCAGCGTCTTCAACAGCAACAGAAACTTCGTCAGCAACTTAAACAGAGTCATAGCTGTGAAAATAAACTACAACTTCTTCATAAACTGCATAGTATCCTTCAACTACTTCAAAAACAACAACCATTTCTGAATCAACTTCAAGAACAACAAGAAGTTATCCTTCAGAAACTTCTTCAGCGACAAGAGACTGCCCAAACTCTACTGCAGCAACTACCAGATCAGCAAAAATTACTCGAAGAACAAAAGCCAATTCTTCAACAATTATTGCTGCAGCAATTGCGTGCTCCAAAACAAACACTGCAGCCATCGACTTTGGTTCAAGAAGCGCTTAATCTTCAAAAAGAAATGGAACAAAAACGTGAGCAATCTCGAAATCAAGATCAAAATGATTATAATCAACAAATTCAAAGGCTTGAACAAAGTCTTCAACTGCTTCAACAACACGGTGATGTAGCTGCAAAACTTCGACAACAGGGACAACAACTTACTCAACAATTTCAACATCTACTACAACTAGTTCAGCTTCTAATGCAGCAGCCTTCTGATCAGAAACTTCAAAAACAACAATCTCTTCTTCAACAACTTCTACAGCTACAACAACAACTTCTTCAACAATACCAACAGCAACAATCACTTATTCAGCAGTTTATCCAACAACAACAACAACTTGTGGAGCTTATGGAGCAACAAGAACAACTTGTTATGCAAATACTTCTAGACCCACAGGAAATGCATAATCTTCTTCAGCAACTTGAGCGACCAGAAGCTCAATCTCAACAACTTATGCAACAACAACAACAACTTCTCCAACAACTACAGCAGAAGCAGCCTTCACTTCAGCAACTTCTCCAAAGACAACAGCCTGTTGTTGAAGAACTTCTGAAAAGCAAACAACAATTGGATTCTCTTCTCAAAATTTTAAAACAACACCAGAAATAATCATTTCTCAAACAATCACAGTATCAAAAATAAGTGATTTCGTTTTCTTATGGAATATCTGTTTTATTTTTTTATTTTTTCTAATCAACGCTGCAATTTACAATTTATTTTTCAATATTTCCACATAAACTTGTTCAGTGATTTCCTGCTTTACTAATTTCTAACCGAGGTATCGAGCTGATCTAAACAACCACTAATTATATTTTAGAATGGAAAAAATAAGCAATCCTTAGATTTTTCGATGTATAAATTTTAATGAAAGAAAACTTACGTCTGATTGTGATTTTCAATATGTTCTTTTATTATTTAAGCTGAGCAATAAACTTTGATGCGACAATTAACAATAACTGACAGTTTTATTATATAACTGCAAAGATATCATTTGTACAATTTAATTTGTTTATTTAATATAATTTTTGGTTCAGCAATTTCAGCACAATAATTTCATCTAATATCACAGTATCTCGAGCTTATATAATTGATGAAAAACTTTGACTATGAGTAAACCAACTAAAAATCGGTTTAATCCTAATAATATGAATATTGGAAATTGGTTTAATCCTAAAAATAAGAAAATCTTCAATTAATCGTTTTCAGCATTAAGTAGTGCTATAACAGACCTAAAATAGTACAACAAATTAATAAAATAGTAAGGAATTAATAAAATAGTAAGGTTAGAAGCAATTTCTTTTAAAGATATAAAAATCATATATATCTAGTATTCATATTCATATTCAGTAACTCTGCGTAACTTAGATGGCAAACAGAAACTAAAGGAAAAACAAAAGCGATTTCAAACAATTAGTTTAATTCTATAAGATAGAAGTGTACATGCTAATGACCAACAATTATTCATTTTAATTTGTGCCATAAATAATACCAAACACTTTTAAACTTCAATGAATCCTAATGCATTGATGGAATACTCTAAGAATGTCATTACGACCAACAATCTATCATCTAAAGATCTGTTCGAACCACTATCTGCGGTCAGTCTTTAATCTTTTAAGATATAATTTGATACAGTGTAATAACCCTAACATCCATCTATTATCTACGTAATAATGAATGGTTGAGACATCAATTGAGAATCAATTCAGAGATTCAGCGAGTTATTGAGAACAGTTGACTACCTTATTGGTGCTAATTACTTCTTTAAACCTATTCGTTTAAATCTGATGAACCAATGTAAGCTACAAAAGTTAGAAAGTCAGAAGTCCAAATTTCACAAAAAAATTATTGCTGTCCGAAGTGAGTGAGGTATGTCTGACACTTTGTTGTAAGGAGCCGAAATACCAAGTCAAAGATTCAAAAACTTCTCAATGAAATAAATGAATTTATCTAACCCAACAGGAATGAGCTTATCCACGAAAACAACTCAAACAACAATAAGTCAAACTACGGATCATCAAAGAAATGATTGGACGTCTTATTATGCTAGTTGCTTAAATAGGTTCTAATTGAGAATTCGACAAACTCATCCAAGGGAAAGAGAGCAAAGGAAATATTCAAAAATATCGACGATCTACTGGACATCTTAAAGTTAATAGAATGACCCAAGAAAAGCTATCATTACATTAAATATTCATATTGAGAACTATGAAATACTACTTCATCCTCATCATTCATTGTCTTTTTCTTACTGTTTATATCCATATGCCATGTTCTATTAATAGCAAAATAGTCTACGAAATCCGTTCCAATTTTATTATCTACTTTTCGTTTTTATGATTTATTTTTCTATTTAGCTTTTAGTATCATTCCTTTTCGTTTTGTCTTTTCACCTCTTTTTTTTTTTTTTTTTTGTACACTGCTAAGTTTCTTTTTATCATTGAACTTTATTCTTTGAATTTTTTTTCATGTGCCATTTTACATTTGTTTATTATATTTGTCATTTTGCAAAATATCTTTTTTATAGTTTTTATAAAGCTCACTTACTTTATGCTTCTTGTTGATTAAATTTTGATTTATGGAAGTTTTTTCTAAATATTACTTCATTTCACTTTTTCAATCTTTTTTAATTCATTTTAAAACATTTCGCCTTGCTAATGTCCAATCTTTCCTCATAGCTCGTTTTTTTTTTTTTTATTATTTCTGTTCAATGTGTGACATTTTTGGTCTTTTTTGCTTCTACGCACTTTTTAGTCAACTCCATTTTTTTTTTTGTTATTTATGAATTAAATTATTTTTATTTTCTCTTTTGCAATATCTTTCCATTAATTATAGTTGTTTTATGTTTTTCCTAATTGTTTTAAACTTATGTATGTTCTTTTGCACTAAACATATTGCATCTATTTTTGGTGAAATTTAAAACCGAAAATATTGATGATTAGATATAAAAACTGTTACAGAGGTCACCAGACAATATTCGGTATGACTAGTGCACTGAAATGTATTCAACGAGATGCCGGTGCTTAGACCGAGAATGCAGTTATTTCCGGACCGGATTTATGTGAAGAATCATCGTGTTAAACTACTCTGTGTTAAACTCCTACAGGAGACGCTTGTTGTCATTGTAGTTTTCAACATTATGTTTGCCTTGTATTCATCCCAGACCTTAGTTTTTTCCCTATAGGAACTCTTTAGATGAGCATATGTTGAAAGGACAATAGATGAATCACCTGTCACATTAACAAATTTAGAAAGGTATAATCATGAAACCAGTTCTAGGTGAGAAAGTTCAATTCTTGGTTTACCTGACCAGAAGAGTGTTCAGTTGGCACATTTTCTTTGAGAGACAAGTTTCACTAAGGACGACAATGTCAACGTTAAGTCATAGCAGTTCGTAGGCAGTTAAACCCAGAATGACACTCGGGTTGTTCATACCCTCAGTGTAAGATTGGTTCGAATATTTCAATATGAATGAGTTAATTTGAACACAATTTTGAAGCCTTTGTTTCTTTATTCTAATTCGACTGTAGCAGAAAACTTTCGTTGACTGCGATTAGCCAACCGGAGATGAACTTTGGTTAGAGATCTAACCCCTTTGTACACTCTTCACTCCTCCATATGAAGAAGCAGTACTTCTCGTCGCTCTTTGCTTGGTCATTCGGACAAGACTATGTCATTCTCGAGTGACCAAAGTCCTGGGCTGAATATTATGAACTCTGTCAATCTGCTATCGTCAGAATTAACTCGTTGCAGTCGACTCACACTGTGAAAAATCTATTCATGATTTATTCACGTCCTGAAGACACTCTTTTAACGGAACTGTTCCAATTTTCTCCATCTCTAATGTAACTTTCAAATGATAATACTTTCTATTATATTTGAAAGACAATTTTGTAAATATTTCCATTCATTTGCCTAAATGCCAAATTTTAAAATTCTAATTACTCAAAATGAAGGACTAAATGTGCTATCTTGCAGAAATTAGCACTTTAAAATGAAGGAGAAACGTTGGAAGATTAAAAGAAATTGCTATGGATATATCATCTAGCAGTGATAAAGATAGCAACGTAAATAATATCGAATCCGGTTGCCGAAAGTCTCAGAGATTTTGGCAATCACTGAAAACTAATGAACTGAATATTTTCAGTTATCGAAACTAAAAATCTTTAATGATTGCAAAACTGATGTCCCAAAAGAACTGTGACAGTTCAATTCTATAATTGAAGCAATCGATTTGTTCGTTAATCTTTTATCAAGCAGTGATGTTTTGGTCAAATACATTAAAAAAATTTGTGATAAGCACAAGCATTGCTGATAAGATTCGTTTTCTCCTTATATTGGTAACTTTTTTTTGTCTTTCTCAGTATTTTATGTTCTCTGTCATTTATTATTGTTCTTTTCATAACTTTTATTTTGAACATAATTCAAAAAATTTGCGTAATTCTATTTAAGAATGAAGCATTCATAATTCATCACTGGAAATATTTGAACAAACTGATTTTTAACAAGTGGGAAAGATCTGTTAACCATTGGTCATTTCAGATCAAAAAATGAAGTCGTTCGAGTTGTCCATAATCAATTTCTTATTATTACCTTTAGTTGCTTCAGAAATCAATAGAGACAGGATAAAATATTTTGGTTCTATTTCAAATAATACTCTTAGATTGCAGGAAAAATACCTAAAAACAAGTGTTAGTCTTATTGCAATTTAAGCTTAGGTGTAAATTCGAAATATATTTAATTAAATGGAAGATAACCTATCTTATCAGTAAAATATATATTTCATCCTGTCTCTATCGATTTCTGAAGCAACTAAAAAAAACTATCATTTACTTTGATTATTAATATCATTGCGATCAATAATAAATTGTGCATTAGCAAAATTTCTTTCATTCTTAGAATACACAATTATTTCTACCGTTGCATGGGATATTGTCTAATTTTGCAATGGAAAATTTAATTAGACTAATGGATAGCAAAATAGATCAGTTGATGGATTATATCGATGAACTTGATATCACTGAAGGTTTTTGATTAAACTTTGCATACAAATTAATTTCTTTTTAAAGTCCAAAAGACTGAAAATCCAAATATGAGAAACGTTTTAGTATCACTTTGAAAATAGTTTAAAAAGTGAAATATTTGCAGATTTTAAAGTGGACGTGAAATTATCGCTATAAACTGTTTCTGATTTCATAAATGACAGCAAAATATAGAATGGCAAAAAGAATGCATTGCTTCCGAGTTGATTTTAACATTTCAATAATATCATTAATTATTACAAAGTGGGAATATGTATTTAATAAAGTAATAAAAGTGAAGAGAAGGAAAAGGTAACAACACTAACTTCTGGGAAGTAATAACTTGGACATCTGTGACAGTCTTAGCACCAACATTTCAGGAATTGATAATATGGGTAACTACGAAAGTCAGCAAAAAGTTGAGTATATATAATAAATTAATTGACACAGTCTATTGAGCTTTCTTCTGCTTTACCTTGAAGTACTTTACCTTGAATTAGACGTCACTATATTTCTGTGTTAGTGCTGTCTAATTACAATAACTTCGTAAATGCTTTATTATTCTCTTATTTTTATGTTTTATTGTTC